ACATGCCTGTGGGGCAGCCTGCGTGGATGGCTCCCGTGTCCACCAAACCGTGCGCGCCAAACGCTGTTAAACCTCCGATCAAGGTCACGGACGTGTCTGGTTCTAACTGGCCAACCACTTCTCAAGGCCAGTTCCCAAAGGACCTTAGTGTGGCGACTGCTTACGCTCAGACACTGTCGGAGCCGGCGACCTTAGGGTCGGTTGCAGACATCCGGACCCGGCGACTACACTCGCCGGAATGCGACTCAGGACTCCAGCCCGCTCATGATTGGACTTCACTTGTCTGAAGTCACTTACCTATTACTCATGTCCTATTCCTTCTACACTTACTTAAATTATCTCCAACACTCTAGCCTTCCACGCTTTATATTATTTACTAATTAATAACAGTTGGGATACATTCATCTGCTATTATGCTGCCGGATTACTTCGTATCCCACAACTCTGCCTCAATATTCACACCTAAGTCAACTCTCCCTAACCCACCTACTCAGTCTAGTCTCTTTGTGTGTACTCATGAGAAGAAGTTGGTTTGATCGCCGGGACAAAAGGTTTTATCGCCTGACTTTTCGAAATCCGTCGCCGATCCACAATCAGAGACAGTGCCAATAGGGATTGCAGTATTTATATGATACAGTCAATATGCTACTGCAAATGTATGATAATTAACGACTCCATCCTATCGAGAGTAGTTAAATGTTTATGCGCTAATTACTTGAGGACCGTGATCTCCTGAAATTACAACACCAGTGCTGGAGTTGGGCATATTGATTGGTCGGTCAGCTTGCTCCCTGGCGCTGGCGTTAGAATGGCGCGTTCGTCTGTGCATTGCGCGAGGGGCTAATTGCTTTTGCCATCAACACCGAAAGTGGATTGGGTAGGACGTTGTAATTGTTTATCGACCGGCGGTCCGTGAACCGTGACTAAAGTGACACCCATGATCGTCACCTCTCTCGAGAATTTCGGCCTCATCAAATTCAAATGTGTGGCTGGGTCTCGTCGAATAAGCCGCATTGCTGTTGCGTGTTCGGCAATTCGCGACCTGAGAAGTCTTCCAGTTTCTCCGATGTAACTGGTTCGTAAGTAACTGCACCAGATCCAGTATATATGTCTCTTGCCAGCGGAAGTGGGTCTCTTGTTTTCTTTATCTGACACCTGCTCTGGTGTGCACTTTAAATAAACTCTGGACATATCGCTGCCGAGCATGCTTTTACTTCAAAGGCACAACAGTCGGTACAATTAACAACCGAGATTTATTTCTTGTAGCGACCCCTCCCTGGTACATGT